AAAGTTACACAATGGACTATCTACATCCTGTCCAAAGTTACACAATGGACTATCTAGATTCCGTCCAAAGTTACACAATGGACTATCTAGATTCCGTCCAAAGTTACACAATGGACTAGTCTACATCCTGTCCAAAGTTACACAATGGACTATCTACATTCTGTCCAACGTTACACAATGAACTATCTACATCCTGTCCAAAGTTATACAATGGACTATCTAGATTCCGTCCAAAGTTACACAGTGGACTATCTAGATTCCGTCCAAAGTTACACAGTGGACTATCTAGATTCCGTCCAAAGTTACACAATGGACTATATAAATGCTGTCCACCGCGACGACTCGAACCCCTGATTTTAGAGTTGTAATTTCATAAACATACCACTGAAACAACGGTGGGGGCATCAGGTGAATGATTTAACTATTAATGTGAGTGAGCGTTTCGTTATCTTACTACTGACGAATATTAATGCCCTTGGGAAGTAGGTAGATTAACTGTTTAAATAAAATTCTAGGTTACATCCTTACTGAATGCATTTCAAAGAAAATATGTTTCATTGATAAAATTAACTTTTCTTCTTACGCTAAAGTCATGGTAGTAAATATACAGTAACATTACTAATGATTACTTCTCTTTTTACTCTTAAAATCATGGTAGTAAATATACAGTAACGTTACTAATGATTACTTTTCTTCTTACGCTAAAATCATGGTAGTAAATATACAGTAACATTACTAATGATTACTTCTCTTCTTACTCTTAAAATCATGGTAGTAAATATACAGTAACGTTACTAAAGATCACATTATTACATCCTATTTGTCAAGATGAATGATCTGCTGACATATATAATCCTTTTGTAGTTAAAATCATAAATAATATTCAACGTTAAAATTGGTACACAATTAAAAACATTTTATTTAGGCCTACATTATAGTGTTATAATGTAGCAGGTTCTCACAGTAGTTTAAAAACATACCTCCACAGATCATTTGTTGTTTAGATGTCAGATTTTGTTATATTATTCAAGGCTATAATGATTTAGAACCGAACCTTAATAACTGTTTTAGTGAATTAAAACCTTAATAATTGTTTTAGTGAATTAGTACCTTAATAACTGTTTTAATGAATTAGAACCTTAATAACTGTTTTAGTGAATTAGAACCTTAATAACTGTTTTAGTGAATTAGAACCTTAATAACTGTTTTAGTGAATTAGTACCTTAATAACTGTTTTAATGAATTAGAACCTTAATAACTGTTTTAGTGAATTAGAACCTTAATAACTGTTTTGATGAATTAAAAACTGTATTATGTGGAGATAAAAAAACGCAATAAAAAAGTTACAAAAAAGTCAAACTACACAGTTTTTCAACCATAATAATATCATTAACTTGGCAAAAGAAAATCTAAGAAACGAAAATACGATTTCCAACAAATTATTAATGTCTCGTAGAAGAATCGTTGGTTTGTTTATTTATTTGAATATATTCGCAAAAGGCTATTCTCAAAGACTATCCGCCCTAGCCGGTCCTAAATTTGAAGTGATAGGGGTGGGAAGGAAAATTCGGCGGTAGTTGTTATCTTGTTTGTTTAATACCATATTAGAATAACTGGACTGTTTCTTAACACAGGGATCGAACCTCGAATTTAAATGCTATAAACCACCCCCAAGCTGGTGGCCACCGGGGTAATGTATACCA